CAGGTCTTCCTTCTGCTTGGAAAGCCTATGTTTGTAGTCCTCAGTAAGGTGCTTCTGCTGAGCCTCCTTCTCTGTCAGATCCAATTTGAACTAAGCCAGCTGTTTTGCCAACTCTTTCTCATGGTGGCAGCTTAGCTCCAACAACTGCTTCCTGTTGGGGCCCTTGTTGGGAGTGGTTGGGAGGGGAGGGGCGAGTAGGGGCCGGCGAGGTGCCCCTAGATGTGAGGGACATCGTTGGTCATGCCCACCCAGTCACACGACCACCTAGCCACACCCACCCAGCTGGTCATTAGGCAGATCATATTAGTGATATAACTGCTTTTCAGTTTTTCATATACAAAATGCTTGCCAGGATTGTATTTTGCTCATTTGTATCTCAACAAGTGAGTGCCAGTTTGGTTTAGAGTTTTAAGGATTCTGGATTAAAAGCAAGACACTGGAATTGTAGCCCTGCCTTAGGCACAAGAGGCTGTCAGATAGCCATAGGACCATTATTTTGTTAGTCTAAATAATGCAGCATTGGCAAGCCACTTCTGAAAGCCATGTAGTAGCAAGGAGTCAAGTTTGACTCAAAGGAAAGAAAATGTTTTCACATGTAGATGATCTTCTTGTTTGTGTCTTGCAAATGTGTTTTGTTTGTGGCAAGTAGGCATTTTTCTTACCAAGCATTAGAATTAAATAAGATTTAGCATGTAGCACTTAGACTTCTACCACTTCACAGTGCTTTTACAGCCCTCACTAAGCAGTTTACAGAGTCAGCATATTGCTCCCAACAGTCTGGGTCCTCATTTTAAATGACCTCAGAAGAATGGAAGGCTGAGTCAACCTTGAGCCGATGAGATTCGATCTGCTAAATTGCAGGCAGCCGGCAGAAGTAGCCTACAGTACTCCATTCTAACCACTGTGTCATCGCAACACATTTAAATAATCAACATTGAAAAGTTTATTTGTGAATGGTTTTATTTAGGTACATAATAGGAAAACCAATTAATTTAATGGATGCTGATCACTATTTTGAGTTGATACCTATTAAGATATTTTTATGTACAGTATTTTGAACTTATGCTTTACACTTTGTCTCTAATTTTGGTTCACTATTTTCATAGTGGTAAATTTGCTTGCCTTGAATAGCAAGTCCATGGAAATTAAACATTGATTTTAATGGTGGAGACTTATGGCCTCCTTTCTCATTTGGATGTGTATATTATACAACATATCTTGAAATGTTGTAAATTAGCAATAATACAGTTGCCTTTTCAAATAGTATCAAGAAAGGTATTTGGTACTTCCACCTTAGTTGAATTATATGTAATTTCTAATTGTAGTCTTTTCTTTTTGTAGAAAGTGACAGAGGCCGAAGATGACAGTGACAGTGATAGTGATGATGATGAAGATGATGTTCAGGTCACTATTGGTGATATTAAAACAGGAGCACCGCAGTACGGGTAAGTTGTTTATTGCTTAATCATCTGGATTTCAGGTTCTGAGTTAAGGCAGGCTTATGAAAAGTCCCTTCCTTTGTTACCTTGAAGCAAGTAATAATTGCTTCCAGCTAAAGGACCAACTCTGTGGTCACGTGTGTGATTGCAGTCTGGGTTCTTGGCACTCTGTTCTCACATAATAGCTGGTTGCCAAGTACCCATGACCATTTGATCATCATTTGCAACCTTTCCTGTCAGCTTCCCCAGAAAGTCAGTGGGAAAGCTGACAGGGAATGTTGCAAATTGCTGGGCAAGTCTCCCCACCCTCTTACCCCTCCCCCCCCAACTCATTCTGTGTTCATGTCAATCACTCATGCGCCCTTGTGGAACTTTGCCAACCTATGCAGCATCTCTTCCGCATCCTTCACGTGACAGTGGAAGAGATGCCACTCTGACCTTATCTGACCTGAACTGTGCCTCTTGTGCCTTTCCTGACCCATATAGCATTTCTCATCATCCTTACACTCCCCCCCCAACCCACTCTCGGCACTCGCTTGCTCCCTCCCCCATTCAGCAGCAGCCATCTACATCCCTGTGGGCCTGCTTTCTGTATTCCTTCTTGCTTTATTCCTGACAGTGCATTAATTACACAAGTTTTCTAAATAATTTTACCGATTTTCTCATGAAAATTCAAAATGGGCTTTGCTGTAAAAAATACTGCAATGTAGTTTTCAGTGGAATTTAGAGTTATTTATTAGAAGCCGTGGTGGCGCACTATTGCAGTCTAACTCTGCCTACAGGCAGGAATTCGATCCTGACCAGCTCAAGGTTGACTCAGCCTTCCCTCCTTCTGAGATCGGTAAAGTGAGAATCCAGATTATTTGGGGCAATATGCTGATATTGTAAACTGCTCAGAGTTGTTGTAAAGCACTATATAAATCTAGATGCTATTGCTAAGTGCTATTTCAATTAATCTCACTTTCAGAGAATTCTAACACTATCCATAAAATTCATTTTTCTTTACTTTGCTGTAATAGATTTGAAGACAGTTGTATGCTCTGAAGAACGCTAAAGTAATCATTTTATATCCCAAATCATTTTACACTTTTTAAAAACTTCAGCAGTACTTGTCACAATTGATAATAAAGTTTCTTCGAATGTAAATCAAGTAGATTGGCACCACATACAATTAATGCGAGTGTGAGATTTGCTCCCTATTTATATACAGTAGCTTGCCTGTCTGTTTCAGTGTTACAAAACTAGCTTAAATACAAGCCGTTGTATATAAACAGAGAGCAAGCGCCAAGCTCACTAGAAGCACTGATGACGTTACCTAGTTGGATAGTGAAATGTCTGCAAGCAAACAACCAAGCTCAGAGAGCGCCAGCAACTCCACTGTTCAATCTGAGCTACACACATTATTTCCTATTGTGATCAGACACAAGTCGAAAACCAGTAAAATAAAACAAGTTGTGACTGTGTTTCCAAAATACACTCAGCAAAGTGAAGCAATTGCACATTCCTCACTTAATTGGAAGTGCTAGAACTACTAAGCAGTGTGTGTTGGTGAGACGTGGTACTTTACAATTATGGCAGTAGGTGATGGACATTAGAGTCCCAATTATCATTGTTACCCGAGGACTACTTGCAAGGTCATATATGGAGAACTGAGGAGAAGCTTTGAGCTGAACCAGAGGTTGTCTCTTCTTTTAACGCGAGTGCACACCACTGCACTTCCAAACACTTTTTAGAAACCATTTCCTCAAAAATCTTGTTGATCTTTTATCCTTTACTATAAAATGTTATTTTTTTTTAGGTACGGAGCAGCACCAGTGAATCTCAATATTAAAACAGGAGGGAGAAGTTATGGATCCTCTGGTAAGCATTGACCGAGAGCTCCAGGAAAGAAAATAGAAAAGAATAATGTTATGCTCTGTATTTCGGTATCTCTTTAAGATTCTACATTGCATTTGATTCAGTGTAAGAGAACGTTTATAAGAACAGTAACTATCAGGCTCATGGGTGCCAGTATGCTGGAAATAAGCACTTTAATCTCACTATAGAAGTTTATAATAATACGTTGTTTGTCATGGGCTCATAAAATAAATGTTCTTTTCTTTATAGGCACCAAAGTGAAAGGAGTTGATCTTGATGCACCAGGAAGCATTAATGGTGTTCCGCTATTAGAAGTTGATTTGGATTCTTTTGAAGATAAACCTTGGAGAAAACCAGGTAGAAAATTTTGCACAGAAATAAATAGCATTGTAAAAACATGTCAGTAAAACTCCACAGGTGAGCAGAAAATTGATATTCTTGTTTCAACTAAACGCACGAAATGTGTTCATAATTCCTATTTCAGGAGGAAATTTAATTGCATCATGTTGTAGACCCAATCCTTATAAATATGCTATTTCCAAGAGTCAGGGAAAATATAAGTATTATTCAGTTGGATTTGATGCATGAGGATATGTTGTTGCGTGTTTTGCATTTTTAAGTTTTTTTTACTCAAAATGCTTCGATGTTTTAGCTACTTCGGCTTATCTAACATAGGGATAAGTGCCTCCCGTTTGAAGCACAGCTAAGTAATAAAACATAGCTAAGTGGTTGTGGGAAGTACACAAAAGGAAGTGCTGTATAAAGAGGGGTTTTTCCCCCAAATGATTATTCAGCTGCTTTTCATTTTGGAAAACCAGTAGCTAGAAAGCATTGTGGAAGGCAGGATTCCTCCACATTTTTCTAGTAGTTGCATTTAACTCCTAGAATATTTGTTGTTTTCTTCTAAGGCGCTGATCTCTCAGATTATTTCAATTATGGGTTTAATGAAGACACTTGGAAAGCCTACTGTGAAAAACAAAAGAGGATACGAATGGGGCTCGAAATTTTACCCGTTACCACAGCTACCAATAAAATTACGGTAATGAAAAGAACCACTTGTTTCACAACCATTTTCCTTCAAAAAGTAGATTCCACACACAGTGTTAGCAACCCCTGTGTGGTTCAAAAGTTCCTTCCCTTCCTTCCTTGTTCCTACCATCCAGCCATTTTGCTCCATTTCCTTGTTGGCCTCTTGTGTTGGTAATTGTGGAATCACCAACTGCAACTAGCTTGTAACCTGTTGTTAGTTGTGTTGTAGCCCATCAGTCCATAATGTGGTGTTTTAATGGGCGATGTGTTATTTAACTTAGGCCGAAGACATTGCTATGGAAGTAACGCCAGGGACAGAGATTCCAGATGGCACATACAGTCTTTTTAAGGTGAATGTTGGTAAACTTTCCTTAGTCACTCTTAATTACTGTTTGCCATACCACTTCCAAGTTTTGAGTCTAAGCACAAAAGTGGACATAGCTGTTTGTTTTTTCCCCTAGCTTTTAAAAAAATATGTTCTCCAGATGTGCTGCATGTAGACCCACTTATTTTTATCTTACTTGCTGCAACTCTTATGACTTGATGGCATAATGTACTAATGATTGCTGTGACAGTTACGTATTGTATATGCTGCATTCTTTTAGTGAGATACGTTGCTCCGTTAAACAGATTTCATGTATCGTTTTCGGTCTAGTATTTGATCCTTGCTTTCTCTCTCTTGGTGGTCCAACTTCAAAAATGAAGTTCAGGCAGAATTTTGCTGACCGAAGAAATTATCCTCCATGTAAGAAATGTGCACGAAAGAGAAAATGTGTCTAGTTTTGAATCTGAAACGAAACAAAGGCTGCTGCTATAACTTTCTGAAAGTTTTGACCTTATATTGAGGGGAGGGCATAGTTTGATAGAAATGAAACCTGGAATGTTTTTACTTTTTTTTTTTTTATTTCTGCTGAAGCAAAATGCACAGGATACAGGAGTGAGTATAGAGAGCGAGTAGGAGAAGGCTGATGTGTGTGACACTTACTCTCTCTTGCCTTTATGTAGCTAGCATTGCTGCATATCCCCTTGTGCGCCTCCTCCTTTTGCAGTGTCGGCTTTTTCCCCTTTTCTTGGTTGCCCTGGACTGTTGCTCAGTCTTACCCTCCTTGCCTGAAATAACTACTTTCAGTAACAACCATTTCAGCCCATATTGAAACAAAACTGCTCTGTAGCTGAATCAGCCACCCGTTTTGTTTTAGACCCAAGCCACCTGAAAACTGCAGTTACGTGAACAGTTCACGTACAAATACTTTCGCACATCCCTACCTTCGTATATAAGACATCGTTAGATTGTCATAAATCAGGATCACAAACTTGATTAATAGCCATATGTTGTAATCACCAATCTCTCATATGCCTAGAGGACTTTTGGAAACCACATTGTTAGGCTCAGTGGCATCGTGAAGCGGCAAATTCTAGCTTTCCCCTGAGTGCTTCTAAGGCTGAAGACAATTCTAGACCAGACCTTGTTGTGGTAGGACTTGAACTCCCTGCTGGATTGAGAACTGCTTCATGCCAGTGTAAGAAGTTATCAACTAGTTACAATTGACTAGACATTTGAGAATGCCTGAGGAAAAAAAATGCACAAGTTAATATATGCCACTTACATGATGTGAAGAAATGAGTGNATATCAGTCTCCATAAGGATTTCCTAAGATCCAAATAATACAGATAACCAAGTTATGAATTATCCAGGTCATTAAAAGATAAAATCAGTATTTTGAATCGGGCTATGGAAGATCAATATCCAATAATGTTATTTATTAATTCAGTGAAAGTTGGAAGTTACTTCATTTGTCAGGTTTTTAGTGTAATGAAATGCGAAATGTTATTATACAAACTTTCTTCTTTGTCCAATAGAATTCAGAGTGAGCATAACTGTTTTCTATGGAGGTTTTTTTTATAAATAGCCATACTAGAAACTTGGTACAATGGATGATTCTGTAGATACCACAATTTTAATTATGAATTGAATGAAATGATTTCAATGGACTTCAGTTTATTGTGCATCTTTGTAGTGCTGTTCTAGGAGATTACTTTTATAGTACTTGTTTAGAACATTTTTGAGAAAGTAGTTTAAATAATTTCATGGTTACATGTAGTTACATTCGTCGAGCATATGTGTAGCTCAGGGGTGGCAAGTTTTGTTAGAGTTATGTTATGAACTGAAAATACGTCATTATTTTATTAAGTAATGTCATTTATACTAATTTTATTTCAAATCCTAGTTGAATTGGAACCAACGGGCGAAAAAACTTTAATGAGCATTTTTCTGATTTTTTTTTAATATGATAAATCAGTGTTATTAAAATCCTATTCTACTCTGACCTTGTGAGTGGAATCTCCTGTGAGTAGAGTTCTTTTAGGTGTAGAGTCCCTCAGAGTATCAGTACCATAATTGTCTAGATATGGTAAAATATATGCCATTTGTAAGCATAGATTAATTATATATATGCAAAATATCACTGTCTTGTATACACAAAATATATGCTCTTCAAGTTTTTTTTTAACCCGGTTACTTTAATACTTATCTCTGAAATCAGGTTAAATTAAATGAAACAAAGTGTCACTGTGCTTAATTACTGGATGTACCTTTATTTCACAGAAATAAAAGTTTTGCTGAAAGAGTTGTTTTCCACCCTAGCAAAACCATAATTCAGAAAATAGTATTTTCTATCAAATAAGTTAAATTACACTTATTTTTTAAACTGATACCTGTCCCTGTCAACCAGCTAATGCTTTTTATTTTATCTTGAAGTGTTCCAACCCCAACGGGAAATGAAGAAGAAGGAGCAGCTGAAAATGGCGTAGTGAAAATGGTATTCTTTATAAAACTAGAACTATGGAAATCTATGTAACATTTTTTAAATTGTGAGCAAGCCATTTATGAGTTCCAATTGAATGTAGATTATGGGCAGAGTAGTTAGTTAGGGGTGCATGTGTCTATTTTGGAAAACAGAACATTTGGTGGAACATCTTCCATACCTGTAATTTTATTGATCACTTCCAAAGTTTAAAAATCTTCCAGGACAATCTTAGATTGGCATAGTACGGAAAAGGAACTTACTTATTTATTTAGCATTCCCTGGAACATTCTGTCTCCCAAATGGATAATTTTTGAACATTCCTATAAGTTACTAACTTATTTTATTAGACTTCACTATGTCATAAATTAAGTCCAGAATGCAAATTTTATTGGTACTGAAATTGTTTTCAACCTTGAGAGTATGAGGATAATTTTACACGTCTAATGCTGAATGATTAAATGATGTGCAGTACTTTCCCCAACAGCTATTATCTGTTAGAGATTGCTGGCAGATTTCTTTATACTTGGTGTGCCCTGTTAGTAGTGTTTTATGTACCGGTACCATTGTGCTTAAAGGTTTGTGAACACTTTTGAATGTTCAATATTATTGAATAAATACGATCTAAAATGGGATCAGTTCGCCACACAAGCCCTAAAGCTTGATAAAAATAACCCAGTTAAACAAGTAAGTCACAAACATGCTTACTCATTTCTCTGTTGAGGAAAGTGATCCAAAGCTGTAGATTTTGTGTGTGGCAAAAATATGCGAACCTTTGCTTTCCATATAAGCCATGGCGCAGTGGTTAGAGTGCAGCATTGCAGGTTAATTCTGACTACCAGGGCTCAGTGGGGACCCAGATTGTTGGGGGCAATGTGCTGACTCTGTAAACCAGCGGTCATAATTTGGTGGTCCGTGAACACTGGTGGTCTGTGAGAAACTTTTGGTGGTCCACAGAAAAATTATTTGCATTTTTTATATTGCACTAAATCAGAGGTCCTCAAACTAGGGCCCCTGGGCTGGGTACATGCAACGAACGTTTGTGTTGCTGCAGAGATTCTCCCCCTTCAGGGTCTTTTTGTGCAGGTTGGAATGGGGCAGATATTGCGACTTGAGGTCTGCTTCAGCCTCTTGTTGTGGGGTTTTGGGCGAAGGCTGGAGGGAAGTGTTGCTGGTGGCGAAGTGCGAGAGAGCCTCGTTGCAGTGGGACTGCATCAT